CGGCGGCGGCGGCGGCGGCGGCAGCGGCAACATTAGGATGAACAGCCCCATCGGCGGCAGCCTGAACACGGATTCGTCCTCGGCGCCCGCCAGGGCGTCCAACGCGCTCATCATCCCCATCACCATGGAAGTGCCCTGCGACAGCGGGCAGCGCATGTGGTGGGCCTTCCTGGCCTCGTCCATGGTCACCTTCTTCGGGGGTCTTTTTATTATCTTGCTCTGGAGGACCCTCAAGTACCTGTGGACCGTCTGCTGCCATTGTGGGGGCAAGGAGAAGGTAAGGCGGCCGGGCTCCCCTGCCAGCGCTCCGGTCCCGCTCCTCTCTTAGCGCCTTTACATTCTGTTTTAGCTCAGGGCATCTTCCCAGGGGGCGCCTCCTCCTCTGATGCAGACTACAGCCCTGTGAGGTAGGTGGGACTGAGAGAGTGCCTAGCCCCGGGTGACTGTGGGCTCGCTGGTGTGTAAGAATGGTGCAGATCTGTACGCCTGGGAAGTATGTTTCAGGACTGACTTGCCTGCTTTTTGCAGGTGGGGTGAGAAACCTGGACAGATGAAATAGCCCTTTGTTCCAAATTGTCACTTGGGATCACACTGAGTGCAGTTCAGCTTGCAAGTAAACATGGGGACAAGCGCAGTTGTGTAGCTGATCCTATGCATGTTAATGTTTGCTCAGAAATAAACTGGACTAAGTCTGAAGGTTCGGCCATCCCTGTGTATGTTTGGGAGTTAATTGTTTGAATGATTCTACATGCCATATCATCCAAAGTAAAAATCCTTCTGAGTTCAGTGGGACTTTGTGGTATTTAGAATTACAGCCTTAGTCCCAAATAAAAGCCACTGGATGAGACCACTTTTGTTCTTGCTGATGGTTTTTCCTGTTTGCTTGTGGTCCGGCTCTTTCTCCTATCAGTTATTGCTCTTCATTTACTAGAAAAGTTTAAGCGTTCTTTGGCACTATATTAAGGAGGAAATTTTTTCTGTCTGAACTAAGTTGACTGAAGGTGCGTCCCTGAATGGAGCCTTCTAACCATCTGTTCAATAACTCCTTTGCCTTCCGTGGTTGTTGATGCCAATTTAAGGACACTGTGATCCTGAAAAGGCAGATTCCAAGGGAAGTTGTGTAAGGTGGAGTTGTGTAAGGTCATATATGGAGGCTTCCTTCAGATAAAATGTCAGGAGGGAAAAATACATAGTTGGGGGTCCTTCTGTCTTGTCAAATGATGCCTTCCCCCACCTACTGAAAGCCCACAAACAGAAGGAAATACAGATTGTAATAGTAGACTCCACGATTAATTTGTTCATGCTGTTAATGATGCCAGATCTTTCTTGTCCATGTATAGGTTCAACTGTTCGGCAAAGTTTAAAATTTGGACATGTACATGTCACATTTTACTTGATTTAGTCATAGCCTTTAACAGATGAATGAATATGGAATCATAAGTAAGCAAATACACTCAGCACTCCCCCCCCCCATTAATACAGACTCCAAATAAGGGTCTTCTAGTTCACTCACACCACCATAGAACTAATAGAGTTGAATATAATTTGGAAGGAAAAGGAGAAGTGCAAATGTTGTCATTTGCAACAGTTTCTATGGCTCAAGAAATAGTTTGAGAGGAATACTTGAAAGAAACACGAATATACAAGAGTTTACTCAGCTAGTATTTTAAACATGGTATGGTAGACTTCTCCATTCATATTTGGATGTCCTTCAGATGCAAAATTGAATTTAGTCCACTTTTTGCAGAAATGGTATTTCTTCAAATTGATAGTTTCCTCTTCCTCATTCTGACCCAATTCCCATTGAAGCATTTGGAGAGGTCTCTCTTCCCTGATTGTAATCACCTCCATGTGAGACTGTCATTGTGGAAGGTTTTCAGAAGCGCTGGAAAGGCAAGCAAATTTTAGCTTGCCAAAATGTTGCATTGATAAGACTTGTTCATACTGATTCCCATCAGATGACTGCGGAAAAATGTCAGGGAAAAGGGAAAACTAAATAGACCATCTGAGACTACTGTGGCCAAGATTTTGAGCTTCTCAGCCTCTCTGTATTTGATCCAGTTGATCCATAATCTTTATCTGGAATTGTAGTCTTCTGAAAATATTTCTTGGGCATAATTCAGATGAGATGGGCTTCCAGTAGAAGCCCCATAGAAACAAACAAAAACAGTGTCAAGGACTGGGGCTTGGAGCTTGCATTGAGTATGCTTATTGACTGACATAAGTTGGAGATGTTGAGTCTTTGCATGCTTAATTTGTAAGCCTCATCGATGTCAGTGGCGTTTATTATGGTGCATTCTGTATCTGGAATACTGTACAGTTCTGTTTAGCATATTTTAAAAAGGAGATAATAGAGTTAGGTAAAGTTGAGGAGATGGCAGCTAGAACAATTAGAGGGTTGAACGCATTCCAGTGAGACAAGGCTGGAGTGCCTGGGACTCTTTAACTTGAATAGGGCGACTGAGGGAGGACATGATTAATGTCTATAAAATCATGCGTGATAAGGGAAAAGTGGACAGGGATCAAGTTTTTCTCAAGACTAGGATCCTATGAAACTGACTAGAAGGTGATTTAGAAATTGTAGAAAAAATAGGAAACACTTCTTTGTAGACCACCTAAGTAGCTATTAAATTCATTACAAGATGCAGTGATGGACACTAACTTGGGCAGCTTTAATTTGGGACTAACTATGTTCATGGAAGCCAGGTCTTTTTAGAGTTATTAATGAGACTCAGTGTTACTTCTTGGTTAAAGTCAACATGCCCCCAGATAGCAGCTGCTGGGAATCAGGGGTGGGAGAGGGCATATCTCTATCTCTTGCTTCTGAACACTCCAGAAAATTCTGGTTGGCCACTGTGAGAAACAAAATACTGGACTAAGATGGGCCTTGAGCTGAAGATGTCATTCTTGAGTCCTATTAAACTGAATAATTATAACCAACATGTCTAGTAAATTTTTGTGAGATTGAAGCATGGCCAGGGCTGTAATACTAAATGTCCTTATCATGGACTCAGTGTTACTGAAAACACTGCGGGACTTACTTCAGAGCAGACATACAGAAGATTGATTTTTTTCTGGATCAGGGTATTTGTTCACCAACCTTTGCACGACTATTACAGATTATCCCACTGATTTTGATAGGACTTAAGTGGTCTCACTCTGTGAACAACTGTAGTGTTCATTTCTTTCACAGTACATATAGACCTTAGAAAATCATCAACCTCCTATTTCAGCGAAGCAGGCCTACATTCTGTCACTGTGCCTAAGTCAACTCAAGTTGCACTCGATTCCAGGTTTTTTGGTGTGATGTGGAAGTGCTTTGCCACTGCCGCCTTCTGGATGTTATTCTGACTTCCTAGTCCACCTTACAACCTTAGAATTCCTTGGAGAGCTCCTACTGAAGTACCCAACCTTACTTTGTTTCCTACCCAGGCAAGGTCACCCAGAGCTGTCATTCACTCTCTTGTGTGCAGCAGCAAAAAAGCTCTGAACTGCAGTGAATAAGCGAGACTGCTACTGTGGTTGATGTCTCACGCTTCTCTTTTTCACTAGTTTGGATTTCTGCTTCTCGAAGTATAAGGAAAAAAAACGGCCAGTAATTGCACAAAGCTACCTCAGCCAATAAACTTACAAATAGTTGAAGTAGATCCAATCTGGTTTACGACCAAAAAAGTATACAAACAAATGCCTGGGCTATGTTTCTTGTTTTCCCAGTAAGTTTTAACGGGGATGACCCTTAAAAAGGAAAACATAACTTGTTCCTTAAGATAGTTGCTAAGTTTCTGTTGGTTTTGCTGATCATGTTCCTTATGCATTGAGTATCTCCTTATAGTTGATCCTGAATTGTGGCATGCATTTTACTTAAAGAGCAGGTGCACATGCTCTTTACATTGGGTGTGAAACGAACCTTTTGTTTGTGACTGCTTGTTCGAGGAACACGGATGAAGCGCTGAGGATAAGGAACGCCTTTATCTCCGGTGCTTTTCTGTAGGCGGGATGAGGTGAGATGGGACTGCGAACTCTATGTCCATTAGCCTCTTATGGAACATGTTGGTGTAAACAAAATGCATCAAGAGATAAAAAAGACACATTGTGAGAAGAATTATGTGGTTCCGGAGGAGAACCAAGTTAGCCCTTGTGGAAAATCCTTCTGCTTTAATATGACTCTTTTTATATTTGCTTCACTGAAGAAGTTCTGAAGAAGTTCAGCACCTTGCTAACTCTTTTGTGACTGGTTGGTTGGTCCCAAGATAGATACCACTTCTCTCTCTTGGATTTTGGATTCTTGAGGAGGGCCAGAAATTCACTGGCAATTTCCTCTCCCATAAATGCTACTGACTGTTTAATAGTGTTACTCCACGAGTGTGTGATCTGTCGGTTATCATTGCTTGGTACAGATTTGGCACATAGGAGGTGGTGTATGATTATTCTTGACATGCCATTCTGCTTTGTAGGCTGGGAAACAGAGTGCTGAATATTTATGCTTTTTGGCAAAAAATAAAAGAAAAAGCGTTAATGCTCTCAATGTGGCACCTGACAGGCAAATGGGACTCTTCAAAATAGGCCAGCAGCTGGATATTTTCCTTTTGCCTTTTTACATTTTTGGGACTGTGAATGGAAGAATAGATCTGTTTCAGCTATTCCTGGCACACAGATACACATAAAACACACCAGCCTTTTAAATATATATGGTTGCTAGGCTGCTGTCATGATTTGACATTCAGCTATTGGATCCCCTGCTTCTCCTGAGATATGCCATCACCTAGCTTACAATGTGGATTTCTTTTTTTTTTTTGGTTTTAATTTGGAAGGAAAGGGGAAAGATGACAGAAATAACACAGCAATGAAATGTTATCCCAAAAATGATGAGAGCAATCTGGTGAAAGCTAAGTCACATCCAAATAACTGGGCACTGATTGATTTCAATGATATGGATTGCATTTTGTGTATTTATTTCCCATTTTTATTTTTTGGGGCGGGGAGGACATCAGAGTTGACTTGATTCTTAAACTTCAAGGACATTTTTAAGCCACGGTTTTCTTTGGAAAACAGAAAAGATGGCCAGCATAAATTGGGGGGAATTCTTACAGGGGAAATCTTACTAGGATCATGTTTTTTTATTCACCAACAATAATTAATACAAGGTGGCTAGTGTGATGCTTCGGTTGAAGAGGGATTCTTAAGGTGATATATATATATATATAGACCCATAAGAGCTAAGACTGAGCTCTTGGGATGAGATTATACGTGTCTTTTCATAATTTTACATCGCCACTC